TCTATCAGACGTCTGTCTATCTATCAGAGGTCTATCTATCTATCAGAGGTCTGTCTATCTATCAGAGGTCTATCTATCTATCAGAGGTCTATCAGACGTGTATCTATCAGACGTCTATGATTTAGAATGTATGTAACATCTTACAGATGTACCCGTGCTATCTGGGATAAGCTTTTTGAGGAAAACCTTGCAGGATGTTTCTCCGTATAGTGGACTTCAATGGTGGCCAATGATTTCAATGTTAAAAATGCAGCTTGAAAGAGCTCCACACGACCCCAGCCGAGGAATAAAGCTATCAGAGGTCTATCAGACGTCTGTCTATCTATCAGAGGTCTATCAGACGTCTGTCTATCTATCAGAGGTCTATCTATCTATCAGAGGTCTGTCTATCTATCAGAGGTCTATCTATCTATCAGAGGTCTATCAGACGTGTATCTATCAGACGTCTATGATTTAGAATGTATGTAACGTCTTACAGATGTACCCGTGCTATCTGGGATAAGCTTTTTGAGGAAAACCTTGCAGGATGTTTCTCCGTATAGTGGACTTCAATGGTGGCCAATGAATCAATCAGACGTCTATCAGATGTCTATCAATCAGACGTCTATCAGATGTCTATCAATCAGACGTCTATCAGATGTCTATCAATCAGACGTCTATCAGATGTCTATCTATCAGACGTCTATCAGACGTCTATCTATCAGACGTCTATCAGACGTCTATCTATCAGACGTCTATCAGACGTCTATCTATCAGACGTCTATCAGACGTCTATCTATCAGACGTCTATCAGACGTCTATCTATCAGACGTCTATCAGACGTCTATCTATCAGACGTCTATCAGACGTCTATCTATCAGACGTCTATCAGACGTCTATCTATCAGACGTCTATCAGACGTCTATCTATCAGACGTCTATCAGACGTCTATCTATCAGACGTCTATCAGACGTCTATCTATCAGACGTCTATCAGACGTCTATCTATCAGACGTCTATCAGACGTCTATCTATCAGACGTCTATCAGACGTCTATCTATCAGACGTCTATCAGACGTCTATCTATCAGACGTCTATCAGACGTCTATCTATCAGACGTCTATCAGATGTCTATCTATCAGACGTCTATCAGATGTCTATCTATCAGACGTCTATCAGACGTCTGTCTATCAGACGTCTATCAGACGTCTGTCTATCAGACGTCTATCAGACGTCTGTCTATCAGACGTCTATCAGACGTCTGTCTATCAGACGTCTATCAGACGTCTGTCTATCAGACGTCTATCAGACGTCTGTCTATCAGACGTCTATCAGACGTCTGTCTATCAGACGTCTATCAGACGTCTGTCTATCAGACGTCTATCAGACGTCTGTCTATCAGACGTCTATCAGACGTCTGTCTATCTATCAGAGGTCTATCAGACGTCTGTCTATCTATCAGAGGTCTATCAGACGTCTGTCTATCTATCAGAGGTCTATCAGACGTCTGTCTATCTATCAGAGGTCTATCAGAGGTCTGTCTATCTATCAGAGGTCTATCTATCTATCAGAGGTCTGTCTATCTATCAGAGGTCTATCTATCTATCAGAGGTCTATCTATCTATCAGAGGTCTATCTATCTATCAGAGGTCTGTCTATCTATCAGAGGTCTATCTATCTATCAGAGGTCTGTCTATCTATCAGAGGTCTATCTATCTATCAGAGGTCTGTCTATCTATCAGAGGTCTATCTATCTATCAGAGGTCTATCTATCTATCAGAGGTCTATCAGACGTGTATCTATCAGACGTCTATGATTTAGAATGTATGTAACATCTTACAGATGTACCCGTGCTATCTGGGATAAGCTTTTTGAGGAAAACCTTGCAGGATGTTTCTCCGTATAGTGGACTTCAATGGTGGCCAATGATTTCAATGTTAAAAATGCAGCTTGAAAGAGCTCCACACGACCCCAGCCGAGGAATAAAGCTCTTATCCAGCAAAACAATCGCTCATTTTCTGAATCTTTTCTTCTTTTACTACAAGCGCTTGGCTAGCATTAGCTCTGCGATGCGCGTGCATGCATGTAAAGTTTTATTCTGAAAGGGAACTTGTCCTTTAACACCTTATCCTTGGGTTGAAGCGACCTCAATAAAGTGATATTTAGCCCTAGAAGCACAAATTATTCCAGGAAAACCTGTACTTTATCACCTTGGGATCCCCCAAAAAGCAACTGTGCTAGTTTAGAGTAGCGTGTGTGTGGGTTAGCCTGACTCAGATGTTCCTCAGGACGCTCTCAGATCATGACAACATCATTAATAATCAGATAATCAGTGTTTAATAACGGAGGGATCTGGACAGAAGAGCGGCTTCTGTGGTCTGATGTATCAGCGGCTCGGCTGTATTTACGCTCGTGTTTAGAGTGTTTAGAGTGTAGTACAGCTGCTGCTGCTGCTGCTTAACTCACCGGTGCTGCTGCTGCTGCTGCTGTGTGTGTGTGTGTGTGAGTGAGTGTGTGTGCTTCTCTTTATCAGCTGCTCTCATGAAGCGCCTCTCTCCAAACATCCGCCATCTTCCCTCCGCTCGGGAGCGCGCACGCACACACGTCACGCGTCTCGGGGCGCGCACGCTGGCACAAGTAATTATGAATAATATATGTTTATTTTATTGACGCTGATGCTCGAGTTTGTGCGTTTGTCGGTGATCCGGGAGTTGTGTGGGTTATGTTGTGGCGTTCGTCACCAGTGTTGGGGAGTAACTGGTTACATGTAACGGAATTACGTAGTTTAATTACAAAATAACAGTAATTGTAATCAGTTACAGTTACTAAGAAAAAATGTGTAATTAAATTAGTTACTTATGAAAATGTTAAGAATTACAAAGAGGGTTACATCTGATTTTTTCCACACACCCCCACATACAGACTGAATTGAGTTGCAGTGACTACTCTAAAATATGAAGAAGTTTATAACATGCTTATGTATATGCTTTATTTTTTTAAGATGAACTGTTCTTTCTAAGGCATTGTTAGATTCCAGTGTTTCCTGTCATAGCTATGCAAAGATTTGATTTCAAAAAGCTATTCAACTATTTCTTGTTATGATTTTAAATATGTATTTAACCTCAGAATGATTTTGAAGGGTTAGTTCACCCAAAAATGAAAATTAGCCCATAAATTACGGGTGTTGCATGCATCAGTCCAAAAGAAGTGAAATAAAAAGCGCCCATCCATAAAAAAGTGTCTCACACGGCTCCGGGGGGTGAACTATATCTATATTCAGAATGTAATAATCCCTTTAATGTAGCTTGCGCCAGCAGTCATACACAGAAGCAGCTCCGGCGGATGACGTATGGGGTCAGCGCTGCGCATGCGCTGGAGAGTCTCGTGAAAACCAGCGTTTGTTAACAGCAGCAAAGGAAAACCAGTCTCCTCTTGGCTTATATCCAAATCCTCTGACATTCTTCTTTACAAATCCTCGTTTTGTGCTTCTAATAAGTGACTGTTGTTTTGTTTTGATCTCTCCGCTGCGCTTCCGCGTTCGTTACTTCTGAGCGGCGCATGCGCAACGCTGACCTCATACACCATCCGCCGGAGCTGCTTCCGTGTAGGCCTGTTGGCTACATTAAAGTGATTATTATGTTTAAAATATGGTTATTTTTCTTACAAAAACGCATGGATTCGCTACAGAAGGCCTTTGTTCACCCCCCCGGAGCCGTGTGAGACACTTTTTTATGGATGGGCTTTTTATTTAACTTCTTTTGGACTGATGCATGCAACACCCGCGGAGTGCCATGAAACAGCTTGAAAGATCGAAGACCATTTTTAATATAAGTCCGACTGGATTCGTCTGAAAGTTATATACACCTAGGATGACTTGAGGGTGAGTAATTTATGGGCTAATTTTCATTTTTGGGTGAACTAACCCTTTAAAGTCAGAAATCTGCAGCTGGATCATGAACAATGGGTACTGATACATCATTGAGTTTGAACCTTTTAACAAAACCTGCCTTGAACTGTCCCTCACTCAGAAAGCAGTCTGGAGTAAAAGGATTTGCGCAGCCAGACATAAACAAATTTAGTGAAAGTGAATTGAATTGACGTGGCTAAACATGGTGTCCCATACTCAGAGTTTGAGCGCTGCATTTAACCCATCCACCCTTACACACACACACCGTACACACACACTCACCGTACACACACACACACCG